ATTATTGTTCACTGCAAATGCAATGTCTAGAATGTGTAGCCCATTGCATAGAGTAATGAATTTAACAAAGCAAAATCTCTATAAATATTGGAGATTTTTGTTCACCTTCTACAGTTGGAAAAAAAAACAACATTTAGGATCTTGCATTATCTTGGATGAATCATAAAAGTTTTACATTTTTAAGGCCGTTAAGGAGCATTGTGGCAACGTTTCTTGTTAAACTCATACGAGGTTTGGCTCATTCATACTGAATGAATTTCCCTCTGCAGTTAGAATATAGTTGGATTGTGGAAAACAAGGAACGTCTTCTATGTGAAGGTGATCTTCTACCTTCAAAACTCTTCATACTTGCCAATAAGTTTCTTTATTTTCCTGGCACGTTCAGTAAGAAGGATTCAAGCACAAGGGATCCAAAACACTCTGTAATGCTCACTGCCAGTCAATCACACCAAATCTGTGAAGCCTAACGTTGGTTTCTATTTTTCATAAATGCGTCTGCAGCTGTTTGTGAATTATAACAGGACTTTTTTCCTTCTTTTTCTTGCTGCAGGGACAGATTTTGTTGGTTTAGGGGTTGCTCTCTGGTGAGATCGTTTTGATTGGAGTCAGGTTTAGTTGGAAGGTACTTGCAGTGTGATGAGGCTGCAGCCTTAAAAAATTTATGAGCACACTGATAATACACGGCTCTATATTACCAAACGGATGGATGCATTGAAATGTATAAAGATATCTTATTGATTTATCTCATCTGTTGCAGTTTCTCTTTCAGCTTCTTTTGTCTTGTTTGATTTACAGAAGTGTTGCTATGATTTTCTTGTCATCTTTAAGAATATTTTTTTACTCTGAGCCCTTTCTGCACGCAGGTTTTACCAACCATCCCCAACCACCCGATATTAATGCCGATTTCTCCTGTTACTGATCTAACTGTGTTGCAACGAATCAGAATATTTGGATTAATGGCTGCATTCAGCCGTGCTGCTGAAAGTAGCAATAGAGGAAAGTAGCTGCAGGGAATTCTGAGCAGCAATGAAAGGAGATTTTCTGGGCGAAAGAGGTCTTATGTAAATGAAGCTGCTGAGTGTATCGTTCAAAGCATCATCCTGCAGCTGTGGTCTAGTTCCTAAAAAAAAAGACATGTGCAACCCAGTCGACAGTTACATCCTCTCGTTGTCATTCACACAACCAGTGAGAATAAGAAACAGATTGCTGAGTCATGACTTAGCACCGCTGAATGTGTGGCTCATTACTTGACGAGAGTGCCTAAGAGTGAATTTTTCCATTAAGTGAAATGTTTCGGCGACATATTCTCAGTGTCAATGCTGTGATTACTCCTGTTATATAATATGTTGCAAGACTATTCATATCCCTGAAACGTTTTCACATTTCGTCATGTTTACAAACCAAAACTTAAGTGCAACTTATTGGGATTTTATGTGACGGGTCGCAAAAAAGAAGAGCGTCTAAACAAAGTAGAAGATTTCTTAAGTGTGTTTTGTCTTTGTACTCGACCTTTTTGCCAATTGTAAACTGGTGGAACAGTTTAAACCAGAGTTAGGTCATGAAACAATATTTTGAACGTCTCCCAGGGTATTAATTAAACTAAATATGAAATGAGGATGGCATGACTGCAGACGTACCAGGCCATTTACCTAAAAACTGACAAATAATTTACATTGGAGGTTGTGGCTGAAACCTGCCAAACACTGAAATGTGAACAACCTCAAGAGATGTGAATGCTTTAGTACAGCACTATATTTTAACAGTAAGAATTTCAACAGAAAGGAAAGAGAGCATAAAAATGCGCTTTAAAGCTAAAACAAACAAAAAAAAAGGCAAACAATGAGCAAAAAAAACGACTCAGATAATTATCAAGTGGTTTATGCATTTAGGTTTGACACTACAAAACCTGCGGTGATGATACTTCTACCAGGATGTCTAATTGGTTCAAAGAGAGCATGTGGTGCAGGAATAATACCATTCATCATAATGCTGACATTTGGACAATAAATATATTATACTTTCAATGTGAATTTTCTACGTCAGAGTAAGTCAGTCCAGTCAGGTCACACACTGCACTTTAACATTACTTTTCAGTAAGATGCCTCTCTCTCAGCGACAAAACAAAACGATATCGAAATATCCAGGAACAAATTCAGTGGCAAAACCAGCAACAAAAAACGCTTTGGCCTTGGCGGCAAAGAAACAACATCTTGATCGTGAGAAACTCTGCACTCACGACACACATAGTAGACAAATAGTCCTCGTCCATCTCGGCATGTCTCCTTCGTTAGACACAATCAAACACTGTTTAGCATCATACTCTTTGCCCTGTAGCTTCATCTCCCCTGCCAGCATCATGTCTGGCCAGGCCACAGCATGTGGCAGCCTGCAGGCATCAGGTTGACCTTTTCTACACTGAGCAGCACCAACCAGACCTCTCAGACTACCACAAACCGCCCGGGGTGCTCAACATTATACTCTCAAAAAAAAAAAAAAACATGCCGAACAGAGAGCCTCTTTGGAGGCGACCTAATTGCCCTTTCCCAGCAGCACCTGTTCGATGCGGCTCGGCTCGACACTACTCAGCCATGAGGGTTTTCCAATAGCAACGGCTACGTGGCACCAGGCGCTTTGTTAGAGCAATTACTTCGATGGGGTTCCAACTATGCTGAGGTGGGTTGAAGACGCAACGTTGGAAGATCGTCGGTCCCTGATAGGGTAGAAGGAAGAGTCACCGTTTGCTTCCCGCCATTTCCTGTACGTCTTGAGTGTTTCATCACACTTTTTTGAGTCAGACAAAAAAGCCACAAACTGAGCAGACTGCTTACCGCGACTTCCATGTCCACATTGTTGTGATGCATTTTTTCCACATTTTTTCACTTTTTGAACTGGGGTGGCTCACGATAAAGGATTGAGTTTTTAACAGCTCACTATTTTGAGTTTGGCTCAGATAATATCGGAACACATTTGGCAAAACTTATTTAGCTTATTGTTTTTGTTCAATCCTGAATAAAACAAAATCTCCACTGTTTTTTTTTTTTTCCACAGCAAGCACAAGACAAACTAATGTGCTGTTTGCTTTCATAGTTTAAAGACTTACAGTAATCTATGTTAAACTTATAAATCTGAGGATTCGAGGAATCATCATGAGCTTCTGAGAAAACAGATGGCAGCTTGATGATAAGTGCATTGTTGTCAGCATATTTTGCAGCAGCTGTTTGGATTCCCTTACTAATCATTACTGACAACAACATTTTAGACAGGGATGAGGGAGTATTTAGAGAAAAAGGTTTTCCATTATTGAAACAAACAGTTATCAGTTGCATGACAGCCACAAAGATTCGGCCGCTAGGTGTAGGTCCAGTGAGTTTAATAAATGTTTCATGGTCACAATGGACTGAACACAGAACTCGGACTTAAAACGATCTTTTCTCTTTCACTGCTCATAAAATCACTAGATAAATGTTCTGTGACGCCAGCTGCATTTTATTTCCCCATCTCAGTTTCGGCATCATACCAGAGAAATGTCTCAGTAAAAGAACGAAGATATTTGTTCTTTGTTTTGTTTTTTGTTTTCCTGTAGCCACATTTCCCTCAGCTGTTGTTTTTGAAATCTCTTCCTGGTAGCAGAAATAGGAATGCTACTCAGGGGACTATTTGTGTGTGTGTTCGTTGTCTTCTTCCCACAGTAATGCTAAATACTGACGCTGAGCTGGGGAAAATTTTCAACAGAAACTGTAACGAGGCAAATGCGTCACCGACGTTAACGTCAACCTGCAGAGCCTCCAATGCTCTCGTGCAGATTTGGACCAAACAAACTGGATTCAAAGCATAAGAAGTCGATCACCTTGAATTTATGTTGTTGCATAGCTGCTATGAAAGTGACTGATCAGCGAGTAACAAGACATGGATGCAGGGTGTGTAAAAACGTATGCACAGCGGACTCACCTAGTCCCAAGCACGACACTCTGAGCCCAGACTTCCCAAGGTTCCTGTGTGAACAGAAAAAAAACAATGAATCAAGATCAGCGTATCTACAAAAGTCAAATTGGTCGTATCTGTGTTTGTTCTTGTAGAATGAATGCAAATGAATGTATGGATTTGTCAAAACAAATTCTTGAAGACATTTGTTATGACATCCAGTAATTGTTTTATTTCAGATCAGTCAAGCAATCAATCAATTTTATCTACGAAGCACCCGTCATGCTGGAGGCAGCTCGCTGGAAGCACGTAATAAAAGGGATTTCTGAACTGGGTTTGAATCGTCACAGTCTGCAGGTGTAAATACCAGAGTTGTGAAGAGAACAGAAACTGGTGAGATTCTCCCTTTTCCTCCCCTCTTTGTAAGAGGGCTGGTGGATATTAAAAATGATGTACTTTCATCTTTTCTTCACTTCCCTGGACTAGCCAGGGGAGTCATTGCTCATATTCTTTGCTTAATTTATTAATAAAATAATAATCAAATTGCATCTTGATTCGCTCTCGACTGACTCAGTGTTTCACCGTAGGTACGATTTATTTATTTCCTTAACCACATTTCAAATCACAAAACTGACGCAATAGAGGCTGATGCATAGGACAAACCAGAAGGACATGTCATTTATTCTGACTATCATGACAACCATGAAACGGCTATTTGGGTTTTAATTCGTTTTGACAAGAAGTTCACTGTCACTTTCTTGACCCTGCAAACTGAGACTCAGACACTTTCAGGCATGTACCATCTAGAAACTGGTCAGTAACACGACAGTGCCATCTCCACATTGTTCTTTGTATGGTGCTGGTGCATTAATTTGTAATATTACAGCTATAGATGAGAGCATAATATGTGTTTTTTTTTAAGCTTTCCAAGCTAAGAGAAATATGCTGTAGCAGTTTCTGAGTGTTTTTTTTTTTTTAATTAGAGTGACATTTTGTGTTATTTTAGAACACATTTACTCTTCAAAATGGTAAGTGGGTTTAGTTTTCCTCTTTTGTAGCCAGCTCAGTCCTCTGGGAAATGTTCATGGTACAACACCACTCTCTGACGAGTTTTTTTTCCACCAGACTTTGTTCTTCTCATCTGTTCCCGCACTCTGCAAGCTATCCAAGTCATCTGCAATCAAGCCTCCGGAGCATTTATTGTCCCGTCACATCAGCTTGCTCCAAAACTCTGTCCATCGGGCAGATAGCATGCAAACACACACACACACACACATTCAGACACGAATCCCTGTGAGAGGAGTGCTTCAACTTCCATTAATGGAGGACAGAGTAACACAATACTAAAAAAACATGACCTCGGTCTGAACCCAACTTTAAATCTTATCAGTTACACCACCCAACACTCCCCTTGGTTTTACCAAAGCATTCTTCCAACCAGCCATCCATTTGGGGGATTGGGGATGGAAACTGCAGCTGAACAATAATAGCACAACAATCCAGATAATAAAAATACACATTGCAAAAAAAAAAAAAAAAGTTATTTACTGAGGTAGGGTAATGATTAATATGCTAGATATAAATGCATCGACTTTCCCACAGAAACTCCCATCAGCCATTGAAATGTGCACTGTGCTATACATGTTGCTTTGTTAGGACTGAGCCTCGCTCCTCATCTAGAAAACATTTCTAATGATAGAACACATGCACACCTGTAATGCAGACCTACATGATTCAAACAGGTGCAAAGCTGAAACCCCTGATCTAATTCATCAACCTGTAGGCAATACTCATGGGAGAAGAACAACTTTATTCACATATTATTTTAGGACGTTTATTTTTAGGACGTTGTATAAACTGTGAAGAAATACACAGTATAACTGTTCATAAAAAAAAAAAAAATCCTGAATTTACATTTGGTCTGTAAAAGAAAACACATGTTGACTAGTTAGAGCTCAACATAAACCAGTACAGAGTGCTGCCAGAGTTAAAGTATTTCATCTTTGAGTTTATTTAAAGGTGCAGCTAAAGCACTAGTTGGAAGCGTCTAAAACTGCAGTTATGCATATGATTTGGTTTCACTTAACCAGCATATGCAATCATCCAGTTTGCTGATTGAACAGTACTTTATCCACAGCTGCAAGGATTCTCAAATGTTTTTGCTCCAAAGTCAAATTACAAATTTAAGACTAAATTGTCCAGCTGCAATCCTGGTGCAGCTCCTATTCTATAAAGGTCAACTTTAAAGAAAAAAAAAAAAAAAACATCCGCACTTGACAAAAACACTGCAAGAGCAATTTATACCCCTAAACAAGTATTAATATAAACTGTTTCTGTGGAGATATGATTTTTTTCCCCCTTCTGAATAAATCAAGCTGTTTAAAAGAAAAGAAAATATTTGAGGGGAAAAAGGATAGAAATCTTCAAAGTAAGATCATGAACTTTCAGCTGCTTTTATTCACTGCTGCATTTTTTTTTTTTTTACACAGCTACGGTGAGATTAACTTGTATAAAACAAGCTGGAAGTCCTAAAACCTGACAAGGTAAGGATTGTCGTCAGAACTGGAGCAGAAAACCTGGTGTCGACCTCGATACCAGAATGAAACTCCTATTTCATTCAAATTATCTTCATGGATTTTGCAACAAAATGTGAACATAGTATTAGTTTTTTTTGCTGAGGCTTAACAGCTTACAAGTGCCAAAATACTGAAGGAGAGCAAACTTATTTTCAGCTGCATGTTGTATGTAGGAGGACAGAAGAGGGGACGTTGAGGGGAGAAACCCAAAGGTGATTGGTATCAAAGTGACATGTTTATGTTAGCTCATCCGTCAGTCAAACGCCGCCTGAAAACTCGAGTTTCCAGACATTTGAAGTCCCTGTTCACCAGTGGAACTGCTCCATATTCTGCTCTTTCTGGGGTTCGAAGACCTTGGGTCATTGTCTGAGCGCTCCAGTCTAATGTGTGAGGACTTTTCTGTTTACACATGCGCTTCACTTCCAAACAGTGTGATAGTCACTGGAAGTTTTGAGTCACTGATCGTGTCAAACCATCCTCTGTTCTCACCCAGACAATGATGCATTTCAGTTCCGTCTATGTTGTCAATGACTTGTTAATCTGATGTTTGACTTGAGCAACTTACTTATATAATGTCATATTAGCAAATATGTCAGGAAACAAAGGCAAAAACAGCACTGTGACAATGATTGTGACAATTTGCACCAGATGATTTAAGCAACTTCTTTTGGGAGTGCCAATTATTGTGCCACTAGCCATTCTGAGAGCTTTTTACATTAGCTTTAGTTCAACTTGTAAACCTTAGCTAATGCTAAGTTCATAACTTGTGACAAAGCTCTGCCACACACACATTCAAAAGTTATATTGTGTGGTGGCCATTTATGTAATGTTTGCAACTTGTAATATCTACTAATTTAGTTTTCTATTTTGAGGAGTTTAGAATTTATTTAAGTTAAGTTTAGATCCAAAATCTGTAGTTAATTTGTATATTTGAATTGATTAGATTATGGTGGTAATTAATTTGAGTAATTAAAACACAGCGGGGCTGAGTGGAGCGATTGTTTGGTGTGTGGATGGGAGGTTTTTTGTAAATGATTTTTTGACCACTTTCACTTTTCACTTTTCACTTGTTTGTACTTGAAACGTCATATTAAGTTTACTTTCATTTTTTGACTAATTTGTAGGACATTTTTGGTAATTATTTTGTCACTATTTTTTTTACAAGAAATAAAGAATATAGCTTTTCAAACAAATTAAGTCGGAAGTGCGTTCAAATCAAAAACCACCTGTTAACACCCACGGCCTTTGTTGGAATATTGTTTTTTGGAAACGAGAAGGCCGCGACATATTGTGACTCCTCTAACAACTTAAAACTTACTTCAGTGAGTCATTTTTAACAATTTACAAACTGACAGTGTGATTTACTTAAGTCTTTGTAAGTTATTGATCGGTGTTTTCCCATCAACTTCACAAGAAATACACCAACATCAATGTTGATTATTTCACAGTAAACAAAAAATGTTAAGGCAAAGTCAAACTCAAGGCCCAATGCAGCAAATGAACAAATAATTATTCTCTCATCAGCTTGGTTATTCTGCTGAACTATGAAATCTCTCATTCACCTCTCAGAAGAGCAGATAAACCAGGAGAGAAAGGCGAGACTAGCTGCATAAATGGAGAAGATAGATTAAAGAACAGGATTAAATGCTACCAATTGGAGGATAAGATACAAACAAAACTCCCCCAGTTTTAAAACCTTTAAAAGAAAGACTCAAATATTCAAAAACGCTTAAAGCCGGACATATTTAACTAGTCCATCACCACTAAGCTCACTCACTGATACAACCATCCTCATACATCAAATATGAGCGGAAACGCGAGACCCCAATAGCTTCCTTTCCAAAAGGACCAACAATGAGGCCATTCATCTCCTCTTAAACATGTCTTCATGATGATGGACAGTAATGACTTCCTCTAATACCCCCAGCACTGTGGCAATATCATCTTCTCTTTTTATCTGCCAAATCATGTGTCCCAGCGCTCGCTCCCTCTCTCTCGCTCTTTCCTGCATCTCTGCAGTCGTCACCAGAGATCTGAAACTGATTCGCCCATTAGTTCCCCCTTGACAGTGGTAAAAAAAAAAAAGAAGAAGAAGTAAACAAAGGCAATGCCTTCAGTTTGCATTTTAACCAGATTAGATTTTGGTAGACAGATGATGGAAGCCGACCCAGAAGCACAGAGGGAAGGCTCCAAATGTGGCAACTGGCTTCAATGTTAAGGGACGAGGCGACAGGCAGCATTTTAGTTTATAATTAATCTTGTCGTGAGATTAAAATGTTTGTTGGATTCGGCATTTATCCATGTGAGCAGTCACTTAGTGTTTTCAGAGCTTGTCAGTGTCTCGACTTGAATATTTCATTTTGTCTTGCGTCCTCAAAGTATTTAAAAAAAAGTATCCCCTACTTTATCACATTTTTCAAAAAAATTGTCACAATCAGGAAACTTTATTGCATTTTGTGAGCATTTTAAGAGATTGACTAATATAAATCTGTGCA